CAGGAGCACCAGACCAGATGTGGCTGCGATATTCAAAACAAGGATGAATGGTAGCCTTGTAAATATGCAAGATAGATTCTGGAGAGAAAAAACTATCTTGCTTGACACAGATAACTAACTTTCCTAGTTGCAGGCTTAACAATTGATTCAATAATCACTTTCCTTTTCATGTCAGCAGGAAATGTTTGTCATACTGAGGTAAGGTAAAAAAGGTACTCTCAGATGATTAAAAGACAACAGTTTCGTTTCGGATCGTTAAAATGAACTTACCTGTTTAATAAATCATGTCTTTTTAAGCATACAAGAAATACATACCAATCCCTTAATATAGTGCCATTAGTTTTTACTATGGAGTATAGGGTCACATCCTCTCCCCTATAGAAGCTGCTACGGTTTTTATAGCACGCATGACAAGGTGTACTTGTGAGTCCCTCATCCAACAGGCTTTGAATTTAAAGTTGTCCTTTTCCTAGACTGTTTGTCTAGACACAAATATTTAACTGTTGTAACCTAGAAAGTGTTACTGAATGAAGAATAATCAAAACGGAGGTTGGAAATGAAATGGTAATCTTTATAAAATCAACAGAATACAATACTCGCCAGCGGCGTGAACTAGGTAAACCACTGCTAGTCGTGGACTACTTAGACAGCATATTACCATCACTTACAATTGTGTTCAACGCTATTATGAGGATTGGGACATATCCATTAGTGTTCATAGGTACGATATAACACACACACACACACACACACACACACACACACACATATATATATATATATATATATATATATATATATATATATATATATAAGCAAATATATGGATATAGATCCGACAGTATGAAGAAAAAATATATACGGAAAAAACAAACAAAAAATCTTATATACAATTATGCTGTTTTAATGTTAATATGTTAACGTCGGACGTTTCGGAAGTTTTATTAGATCAGCTTTCAGTTATTTGTTTGGATAAGTCTTGTTCTTATGTACATCGTCTTTGTCATGTTGTATTGATAATGTTATAATTTATGAATATGTCCTGAAGATGGTTTATTAGACTGAAACGTCCGACGTTGACATATTAACATTAAAACAGCATAATTTTATATAAGGATTTTTGTATATTTTTTTCGTATATATTTTTCTTCATATATATATACATATATATATATATATATATATATATATATATATATATATATATATTCTAACATAGGAAGGGTTACTGAATTAGGAATAACCAAAACGGAGGTTGGAAATGAAATGGTAATCTTTAAAACATCAACAAACCAAAATAAAATACTCACCAGCGGCGTGATGTAGGTAAACCACTGATAGTGGTGAATTACATAGACAGTTTATTACTCTCACGTCCAACGTATTTATGAGAAATGGGACATATCCATTAGTGTTCATAGGTACGGTATATAACATTAAACTATAGCTGTTTTCCTATCGTCCAGTCCAAAATATTTCCCGATCTTTTGAACAGGAGTTCATAGTTTCCTGTTTAGTATTGGGTTTCCGGTGTCTCTTATTCTGTAACCATTTACCTCGAGTGGATCTTGGGCCTTGCACAGGGGGAACATCATTGTAAAAAAAAACCTCGAAGACATACATGCGTACATTTTTCAAGTTGAATATAAATTCGCCTCAAGAAAGGCGATTATGCTACTTACATGCAAGAGGTTACTAGGAGTAAAAGAGAACGGAAAGGTTTTAGAAGGAACCGGAAACCCCAAAACTAAACATGAAACAAAGGAATAAACCTCTACTCCTGTTCAAGAGGGGATTGACAGTGAATGCTGGAGAATCTCCTCACAGACGAAGCAGAGACTTGAGGTTACAGAAATGTGGTTCTACAGAAGGGTGCTGGGAATGCCATGAACAGAGCGTGTGATTTGCGAGGAAGTTTTAAGGATAACGAAAACCAAAAGTATGTATTTAGTTAGAATCAGAAAGTTGCAGGTTTTGAAACATTACAGTGGTGTAATGGACACCAGGTCGGATTGAAGAATCCTAGAGCGGAGTTCGAATTCGAGTCGAGTTCATTATGTTCATTTACGCTCTTTGAGAAAAGTACGAATCCAGCTCTTCTCCGCCAGGTAAATGGCAGAACAGACTGGGTTCTATAGCCTTGGATGGCGAAGAAAAAGGAAAACACTGAATTCAAACCAGTCTGGGAAAGGTTGGATACCGCCAGGCTATTTTGTCCAAGACATACAACCTCGGTTGTAGTACATGTGATGTACCTCTCTAATGAGTTACGGGACTTATGAATGATAAAAGAGGGCTTGGAGAATTTGACACTCACGGGACGTACTGAAAATGAGGGAGGATGCCTTTGAAAAAAAGCATTGTTAAATGGATGGCAGAACAGGCAGTTGGTAAGGAAAAGTGAAAAACAAAGCATACTAAGATCGTTTTAAAATCAGTATCACCCCAAGCAAGGGTGTAAAGCCGCTAAGACACAAGTATGTTGATGAATTAGGAACAGAAATATTAATAATCAGCGGGAAAAGAAAATATTAACCAGGAGGACAGTAGATTGCGATTGGCATTGCATTTAAATTTTTGCAGATTAAAGTTGGCTGGAAAGGATGGAACCAGAAATGGGAGTTCCACAAGCGAGAAGTGCGAGAAAAGAAGCTGTTAGCGTAGAAGTTATGGCTACATCTAGCCAGCTCCGCTGTAAATTAATGAGACCACAACGCTAGTTTCGGACTGTACTTAAATTCAAAAAAGTTTAAGTACCATAGCGAAGAGCGATATTTATTCTGAGTATGTAGAGAAATGTGGCCCAAGGCTAAAATGGGGAAAACGACGGTCTTCTTCTATCTTAACGTTTAACTTTGCTAGCCACAAACACTGACCCCAACATACAACAATATTCCTTACACCACAATAACGCATTTTTACTTACCATTCTTACTTCATCCACCATAATGCCTCAGAAACTCTATGAAGTCCAAACTAGTCCGCATATGTACAATTTATGGTCTATGGCGGGAGTGGAATAAAACAGCAATTAAAAATCTAGTCCCTTTGTGTATTTACCATATGAAAAGAAAAAAACTATTTACAACAAACTAAACAGAATAATGTTATTAATAAAAAACCCTTCAATCACTAAATGTGGCAGAAATATCAGTTAACTGGACGAAATCAATGCAGGACTATAATAATATAAAACATTCATTCATCCCAAGCATTCAGTCAAACACATTCATCCAGACACAACAACAAATACGAACATCATCATAGCTAAGAGCGATATTTATTTGTATTTTTATACAAAATATAGCACAAGGCCAAAAATGGGAATGGTGAAAAAGACGATCTTCTGTCTTAACGTTAAACTTAGCTAGCCACAAGCACTGACCCACACACAACAATATTCCTTACACCACAACAAGGCATACGTACCTTTCTTACTACACCCACCATAATACCTCATTGTCTCTATGAAAGTCCTAACTAGTCCCCCATATATACAATTCTTTGTCTGTGGGTGGAGGTGTATAAAACGACAAATAAAAAAAAACATAGTAAAGAGCACATCTGACCAACTACTATGAAAGTATTTATGAAAAAGAGACAGAGAAGCAACCTTATGGCGGTGGGAAAGTGATTGAAGCCGAGCAGCCAGGTCAGGGTCAGTAATATTGCTGATTCTTCTTTGGTAGGTACAAGAGATAGGAAGTTGGGGAGAATCATGATCATTTATGCCCTGAAGAAGAATATATAAAACCAACATTATGCATATGTATCCTGTAAATCTTAATTATCAGGATTTTGTTGCTTTCAAGTGAACTTATGTATGTAAAGCTCTGCGGCATTAACAAAGTGCGTATCATTGATTAACGCTGTACGCATGTCGAACTAGCGCTGAGTATATACACCTCTGTTTGCCATTAAACAATTCTTCTACCTACTCTTGCGCATGTGCAGTGATACATTAGGCGCACACCTCTATGTGTCTGCCTTCATTCCTGTCTCTACGAATAGCTAGCGCTATGCAAAAGTCTTGTGTGCGTAATCTCATACGTTCAAATCTCTATTCGCCCCGATCCGCTAGAGTATCAGTCCGTGTACGTTTGCTTGCCTAACCTCTCCTTTCTCTGCGAACTAAGTAGTTTCGGCGACCAAGGTTACTTTCGCTGTTATTCGTAATCGAACCACTTAGAAACGCTTTCAAGAAGGAAGTAGGTAACAACCCACCTCCCACTAATGGCCGGGTCCGCGGCGCCCGACTGTGCGCATGCGCACACCGGGAATCAAAAATAACCGATGTGCCTCTTTGCATTAGCGTCAAAAGAACAAGTGACTCGTGTGTTATACGTAGCCGTCCCATCTATTTGGTAATGAACGCATAAATTGAACGTATTTGCAACAAGGCATGGCTTCTACTATTTGCGCCGACATTTTACATCTTACTAAACCTGCTTAATAATTCAGCCATCTTGGTTTTTACGCGGGAAAAATAGAGAGAAATGGGGGAAGGTTGTAGGGGGAAGGAAAAAGGAGTGCTAATGTAAGTCGTTTTCTTTATGCAACTACTTTCCTTTTTACCTTTCGGTGATTTTTTTCCCTCCATTTATTTATTATTACTTTCTTTTAAGCGGCGAAATTGCCTTTTTTTTACCCTGACTCATATAGCAATAACGGTATTTTGAAAAATAAACTTATTTCTCTTCTATATTTCTCCCTTTTTATTTTATTTAAATATTTTTTCAATAATATTTGCATCTGATAGAAATTTTATTCTATTTATGTTTCATTTAATTACTTTGACGAAAATTCCCCGTGTTTATGCCACACGCTTCGCTGTCGTCTGTTTAAACTATCACCTTCCTTTTAACCATACATCTAATTAGAATTATAAACTAATTTGAGAAAATGAAAGTTTCACTGAAATAGGTTTGAAAATGTCCAGGTTTTCAGCTGACAGCAAGAAAATACGAATTATCCGTTACAACACAAGCAGGTCTAAGATTACACCTGGTATTCCGAAGCGGTTACCAATCTAGGTACTTAACAGGCTCTAAGTTGCTTAACTTCGGTGTTTGTACGGGAACCGATGTTTCAACGTGATATGGCCGTAAGATTACGAAGCAAAATGGTCAAAATATATGGGGAAAAAGAGGCTCTCAGTTTATATATCCGTCGCCTTTTTTTCCTAGATATCTAAATCATAATTATCAATTAAAATTTTAGAAAATGAAAGTGAAAGTGAAAGTGAAATCAAGAAAATAAGACGTTCAATCAAAATTGTCACAATACATGGAAGAAAGAGAAGACATAAGTTTAATTTGACGGCAGAAGGGTGTAGGTTAAACTGATACCTTATTTTTTGAAATATATAAACAACGATTATATACTTTAATATTTGAAACTTAAAATTTCACTCAGATATCTATATACAGTGTGCGATGAGTAAATTGTCGTCTAAATTACGCTAAAAATAACACTGACATCTCATTTTAACAGATATATTTGCCAAAATTGCATAAAAATATCTTGAAATACTAAAAAGTACATTTATTCAATAAAATCGCAATTATACTTCAACCGCAGCTTCCAGACGACTTCAGAATCTCCCGTGACTCTTCTGGACGGTCTCCTTGTTTAAGTTAATGAATGATGCCATAATCCTTGCCTTCAGTTTATCTTTGGTGTTTCAAGGAGTTTTGTTGGTCTCTTGCTCAACTGCGCTCCACCCATAATAATAAAGGGGGTTTCAGCCTGGGGATTAAGGTGGCCAGATGTAATGGTGATGTGGTTGTAGAAATTGTCTGGCAAGCAGGAGTAGCTCTTCCTGCTTGTGTGGCATAGTGCAGAGTCCTTTTGCCAGATATAGGTTCTTGCAGCAGCAACCCTCTTGACCAAAGACAGCAATATCTCGTCAAGGCACTTTATAAAGGTCTCCGTGTTGAGTCTGAGGCCCTCACCAATATATTTTGGAGTTCTTTTCTTATCAGAATGATTAGAGTGAGTTTTCTGAGCTTCCGTACCACCGTAATCACCATTAAACTCTTTTCGAATCCTCTCCACTGTCTTCATATTGACGCCTAAGCACTGAAATGTTCGTATTGGAGCTTCGGGCGCGAATGTCAAACAAGTACAGCATGCCGTTTCCAAATTACTGGCGAAGTGAATTGCGTCAAGGTGCTCTTTTTCTCACAGACGGTGCCCAACTGACCCTACTATACTGTGCAGTCGGCAAAATAAACAAAAAACAAACAACGCGCATGCGCAAAATTACAAATATAAAATCGTGAAAATTTATATATCGCACCCTGTATAAAATTCTGTAATTCCTTCCATCAGTTTCTTCGTCCGTTACACCCTCTAAAGTAGCCATACAACGACAGATCGAAACCAAGTTTTGGGGAGAAGTGCAAATAGGTAAGGTGTGAGGCGGGGATACAAAGTAAAGTTTGTTTTAATAGATTGCATAGCATACAACTATAAAATTTTCATCCAATTTTTGGGAAAAATTAAAGATTTTATTATTTAATATATAAAATACCCTACTATTTTAAAAATAATTTAACGATTAAGATAACAAATACTTGTTTAATAAAAATAAAAAAAATATTTTCTATATCTTATATTTAATTTTATATATATATATATAAAAGAATCCAGTTATCAGTTCGCACTTCGGTTGCGAGAGCTATAAAAAAATATGAAGGCCAAACGTTTCAAAAAGTTGGGATTTGGCTCCAGAAAGAAATATTTATGCATGGCCAGTTGTATGCTGCATGCTCAAGAGTAAGAAATCCTAAAATTTACTATTCGTTGTTAAAGAGGAAAACAAAATTCTTAAAAAAAATATTGTTTACCATGAAGTCCTATAAAATTAAATTAACTTAAATAAATTATTAACCCGCGAACTAGGGTTTTTGTCAAAGTACTTTTCCAAATCAATAAGCTTCTTCAAATCTCATCGATTAGTTTGTGAAATTGAACGAAACGTCGAGTTTGTAAATCTAAACAAAAATGCTTGTGATAACTTTAACAATAGTAAATATTGTGAAGATTTCAACCCGCGTCAGCGAATTGCAAAACAAAATTCTAGTGTTGAAAAGTCTCTAAGTTTTCATGTAAAACCAGGAAAAAATGAAATAGTCACAATATATAGTAACAAAAACAAATCAGTCTATATTTCTGCGATGAGGTATTATGGACATTATTTACATTATTCGGACTATTGTCATCATCTTTGTCGCCATGTTTATCACAACGTTTCGGCCGTTGTACGCTCCGGCCTTCTTCAGGTGGTTGGAATGTCGAACTGAACCCTTTATTTCGCTCACTGGGGTAGACTGTTCTAGTTCCACGTGTCATGTTTTTAATGGGTGTCAATTATCAGTTATCTCCTGTTAATTTCCCTCTGAAAGTACTCCACTGCCTTAACCTTGAGGACACATCGCACAGTGGATAAAGGCGTTGGTTAGATCCAGTGACAGGACCCAAAGAGTGTGAGTTCAATACCCGCTTAATTAACAGGAGATAACTGATAACTGACATCCATTAAAAACATGGTACGTGAAATTAAAACAGTCTAACCCAGTGAGCGAAATAAAGGGTTCAGTTCGACATTCCAACCACCTGAAGAAGGCCGGAGCGTACAACGGCCGAAACGTTGTGATAAACACGGCGACAAAGATGAGGGCAATAGTCCGAATAATGTAAATAATAAAAAGAAAACAGTTTAAGCTCCTGGCAGGAGGATACGGGCAAGGAAACATTATTCCACTATCTTTCTGATATTTATATTTTTCTGGGTAAATATTTTATTTCATGAATCATTCGACGTATTATCCTCATCTTGGTTGTTTCGAAAATGTCATTTTTGTCTTCTTTGCTCTCAAACTTTATTGTCGTCATTGTCCGACATTTGAAAATGAAGCATAATTGATAATTCCATAAATTATTCTGACTATCATTCTTATCTTTGTTTTGTGGATCATTTGATTTCTCTCGACGGTTTTTTTTCTTCCTCCCCTCGTAATATGACCCAGCTTGATATTATTTAAATTTTGTTCATATTTTTTGTCTTTCTTCACTAAATGGAACAATTCACAATTCCCCACTCTCTCTGTACCTCCTTTTATTTCTTTATTTATTCCTTTTCCTGTTCAATATTTTTCTTATTTTAGTTTTATTGTCTCCTTTTATATTTTTCTTTGGCAATTTCTTCACGTGCTGATCTATTTTTACGAGTTCCCAAATCGGCAATCTTTAACCTTCGTGATCGCAAAAAAAAAAAAAAAAAAATAATAAATAAAATAAATAAATAAATACAAAAAAAAAAAACGAAACAAAAAGAAAAAAAAACAAACAATGTGTCAAAAGAAGGATTTTTCGTTTGACACCGGTATTAATTTGAACCGTGTTCACTCTTTAGCATTTTCTATTATTTAAAAAATAAACAATGATTAAAATTTTGATAAAACGTAAACATATGAAAGTAATTCTATATATTTTTTGTTCTTGAGAATTTACAGCAAAAATATTAAACGCTATTTATTTATTTATTAGATTGTTTTTACAAGAATAATTTTATAGAGTAGAATCCCTCATCCGGAATCCCTCATATCCGGAATCCCTCATATCCAAAATCCCGCATATCCGGACATGATTTCGATGTGTATATTTGAACTATCTTGGTGATATGTAACCGATGTGAAATTTCTGTTTATAGGGAATTTACTTTGGAGAGTGTAGAGTATTGGTTAACTTGCAAGTGGTCTGACACACAGGTAGACGGGTGTAGTCACTTCAAGTTGGAAAAAAAAGCTCTGAGTGATATAATGGAGAGATATATGGGTGAATAGCGTCTACTCATGCAAATGTGTTGGTCAGTTCCATTCTAGTAAAGTGGACTAACCCATCTGCTGCAGTAGGTACTCTCCTATAAATGAGGACGATTAGCTGGCCTGCCTTTACAAGGAGGCACAAGGAGGCAGCCATATTAGAAGGTAAGTCATAAGACTTCTACAGAGAGTTGCTTATGCTTATTTCACCCGAATGGCTTGTATTGGTGCAAAAGATGATGGGAATAGGAGGAAAGGAGACATCTGCAACAAGATAGCGACGAGATGCATGGTTGTGATGGAACCTGGATTGAAACTGAAGAAAAAACTATTGAAAAGGTTGTCAGTTTTATGGAAAGAAAGCCAGCATTCAGCTATAACGATTGCAATAAAGTACGTCGTGTTAAAAAGTGTCTTTCTTTTAAAAAATTTCAAGAACAAAAGCAAAACGAAATGGAGAAAAAGTTGAGAATGACATTAGAAAAGAAAGAATCACCATGCAACAACGATTAATAAATCCTCGTTACATTATTTGTCTTGCATAAGTGGCATACTTAATTTTCATTAACATTACATAATTTATTTCTTTTTCTTTAAAATCAATTCCGTTATATTTTACTCATCATTAGCTTATATTGTTTACTATAAAACATTGAAAATAAATGTTAAACCTGATTTCATTGCTTTTATTTTAATCTAAATATAACACCTCATATTCAGACTTTGTAACCAATTCCTCATATCCGGAAGGTCTTCTTAGTCCAGTTGTCAGGGATTCTACTGTATTTACAACATTCTAAAAAATAGTACAATTGTATTAAGACTAATGCAATACAACATTTATCACTTAGCAATTTATAAATAAATAAATATGAAAGCAATTTTTATACATAAATCTATAAAGATTTACTAAATTATATAATTATTTAAACCAGCTTTAAGGAAATGCTAATTATTTACCATATGGTAAAGTTTCTTGGCAATTAGACGATGTTTGGCCAACCATTGCAATAAGTAATATAATAGTGTAAATAAACAATCTAATTCTAAATTCACTTACGTCATATGTCTGTTTTGTTACAATTTTAATCACCTCCTTTCAAAACAATAAACATTGGCGAGGAGTGAGTTAAAATAAAAGCGGGGTCAAGGAAAAGACCCACCCTTTTGACACGAAGGTTAAAGATTGCAGCCCAATGGTTTCCTGCTAATAAATTTCTGTCTGAAGCCTTTCACAGCATTCATTATTATTTTGTATTCTTCAAGAGCGGAGTTTTCCA